TGATGTCCCTTTACAAAGACTGATTCAGCCTTGCAGCATGCCCAAATATGCCAGACTAAGCTTCAGAATCCTTGCCTCCAAGGAGCAGCTTGTCTTCACCTTCTCTAGGACAAACCTGTTTGTTCTCCTAGCAGTCCATGGTATATTCAACACTCTTCTCCAGCACCACAGCTCAAAGGCATCAATTCTCTATCATTCCTAGTCATTGTCCTGCTCTCTGACGCATAGCAAGCAACTGTGAAGACTGGACCAAAAATGCACCTTAGTCTCTAGACTGATGTCATTGCTTTTCAGTACTCTGGAGAGGTCCTTGACAGCTGACTTACCCAATGCAATTAGTCTCTTGATTCCCTGGCTGCTAGTACCAAGAATGTAGATTGTTGAGCCAAGCAAACGAAAGCTGTTAACAATCTCAATTTCTTCACTCTCCATTATGAGGCAGCCAATTGGCCCAGTGGTGGGAATCTTTGTTTTCTTGAAGTGTTAAGCTTCAGTGCAGTCCTTGATCTTCTGCTGCAAGCACTTCAAGTTGGGTTGTGTCATCTGCATAATGCAGGTTGTTGATGAACCTTCCTCCAATCCTGATGTCGCATTCCTCCTCATACAGCCCAGCATCCCGGATGATCTGTTCTGCACACAGATTGAAAAGGTATGGAGATAGAATACATCCCTAGAGGATACCCTTCACGGTTTTGAACCATGCAGTGTCTCCTTGCTCGGTTCTGACGACTGCCTCTTGGTTCAAGTATAGGTTTTCCATAAACACAATCAAATGTTCTGGGATTCCTATTCCCATTCTTCTCAGAGACAGTCACAGTTTGTTGAGATCTACACAGTCAAAAGCCTTTGCATTGTCAATGAAACACAGACACAGCAACTACTAAATGAAAAACAGTGGTTGCACCCCACGCAGAGGTGCTTTGAAAGACAAATATGATAATGTGTATATGAAAAGGTAAAGCCTTAAAATCTCTTGGGAGTAATTCTGTTGTTGTTGTTGTTATGTGCTGTCGAGTCTTTTGCGACTCATAGCGACCCTATGTACAACAGCCCTAAACCGTGATCTGTCCAGTGCCAATCTCATTGCCTCTGACACACCCATCCCGATTACCCCAGTCACTGAATCAATTCACCTCATAGAGGGTCTTCCCCTTCTGCGCTGTCCCTCTACTCTACCCAGCATGATGTCCCTCTCTAAAGACCTGTCTCTCCTTATACAACATGTCCAAAGTATGTCAGACGAAGCCACAGAATCCTTGCCTCCAA